CAGGCTCCCACCCTGGGGGTTTTTAAGAGGAGGCTGGATGACCACCTTACTGGGGTCGTTTGACCCCAGTGCTCTTGCTGCCATGGCAGGGGGTCAGACTAGATGATCTGCTCAGGTCCCTTCCGACCCTAGAAACTATGAAACTATGATGACCCTTGGGGTTTTGATGCTTGCTTGTTAATAGCTAGTTTAGCTTATCACATGAGCTAAAACCCTAAATAGGTAGGTTAACTTATCACAGCCAAAGCAGCATTCAAGCCAGTGGAAGTGGCAAAGCGATGTCATCTCCAGATGCCTCTCTCACGTGGACATGGACTGGAAGTTTCTAATGATTAAAGAAAAGGTGTTACTCAGCAAAGGGCTGTAACTGCACAGAGCTCTAACTGTTGCAAGATTAATTCATTGGCAAAATAAGCAGCTGCCCTTCAGAGCGTAAAGAGCACTGTGGAATATATATCCAAGCTGGGGTTTTCAAATGGGCCTAAGGGAACTAGATGGCTCATGACCCATTGGCTACCATTGCAAAGTTTGCAGCTGAAAGATGGATCCATCTGATGAGATGAAACAAGGCCTGCAAGACTGATGCTATTAGTTATTGGTCTCAGAGTAGCACCTAGACACATCAGCTGAGATAGGGGCCCTGTTGGGCTAAGCAATGAACAAACACAGAAATAGTTCCTAGGCTGGAGATTTCATTGTAGGCAGACAAGTTCAACCACCGGCCCATCTTTTCAACGAAACTTACTGGCATAATGGTATTGCTAAATTATACCAGGATGCTTATATAAGTAAAACTCCTTGTGTGGACATGATTATTCTGGAATAGGAGTACTCGCATGTGCTGCTAGACCATGATCATTGCACTACTAAATCTCCCTGTATATTCAAGGACACCGGCACAAAGAAACGAAGGGCCTTGTCTACATTGGCACAGCTGGGAACAACATTCACATCTTCTGACTCCCAACCTAATGCTGCAAGCAGTGAACCACACTGAAGAACCATTCAAACAAGCCTGTGATTTGACTGTAGTCCAAGAAAATCCCTTAGAAATTAGACAATATGCTAAAATGTATGAGTGCCGATACACGTGCTCTGATGCATTCTAATTAAAACACTCCAGGGTGACTCACTGTCATGTGTATTCAGTGTCCTGCATTTCAAAATGGTGGTGGGGGCACTTTAACTAAACCTCGTTGAACAACCTTTAGTTAAAGCACCCCCGCAGCCATTTTGAAATGCGGGATGCTGAATACATGTGACGCTGCAGCGTTTTAATTAGAGTGGCTGTCAGGGAGCCACTCTAATTAAAACGCCCCCCAGCCCACAGCACGTGTATAGACACCCTATGCGACCACTTTCAATTATGTCCCACCTTTTAAGGACCTTTGCGAGAGATGCCTTTCTTACTGATCTGTAGCCAGTTGCTTTCATCCTCTCTCTTCTACTAAAATAATTCATCTTTGCCCCTCCTTGTTCTCCACTTTCCCCACAGCAGTTAGCCTGGTTTCTTCTTCACCATGGAGCATGCCACCTGAGCTGGTCTCTCAGACCATTTTCTCTTCTTTCAAATCCTTTCTCAAGACCCCGTGAGTGTTGCAATGATTAGTGAACAGCTCCAGAAGGCCTGGGAGGTGAGAAGTGCTGTATAAAAGCTCAAGTATTCTTATTAAACCAGCTGTCATGGTTTCACATGCCAGCTGTGACTTTTATGTACAGGTTTACAGTCTATACATGGAAAGATTAGCTTTTATTAGGCCTTAATTGTTCTCTGAAATTGGCTGCTCCTATGACAGAAAAGTTGCTGCAAGTCACAGAAGGATTTCTGAGGAGAACCAAAAGCCTTTAAAAAGTATGAGAGGCCTGTAGAAAGAAGACCAAATCTCAGTCGCTGACCAGCAGCTCCTGCTGTCTTCAGCTAAAGTTCTGGGTAGAGCGGCTGAAATATTATTGTGCACAGAAAAAGCACTTTCTGCAAATTGAAAATTTGGTTTTTTTCTGATTTTTTTTTTCTGGAAGAAAAAAATGAAAAGGCCTATTCTAGTGAAGAGCAGGGAGACCCAAAGCAAAATAGCTTGGTTCACTGAACAGAATTCAACTGGTTTTTTTCCATTTGACATGAATACGAGTCTGGTCCTGAGCTGCCACAATGCCCCAAGGGAGTTGTGGTCTAGACGCCTCATGTGCCCGCTCTTGGGTACGGGGCAGACTCCTTGGCTGGACGGTATCTGCCATGATGCAGCACGGTCTCCCTAGTGGCTGGGCCACCACGGGGCAGAAGCGGAGCTCCAGGACTGCAGGCAAGCACGAGACAGCTGGCCCGTGGACACCCAAGTCAACGCTCTGCTGTAACGTAGGCATGATTTGAAACAAAAGGCATTTCAAGGTTTCAGAATCAAAATTGTCTCTGAACTTTTCTTTCCATGCAAAAACAATAAAGAAAAAAAAAGGGTATTTCAGCTTTCCACCATAATACGGTTGAAACCAATGGTGAAACAACAGAATTTCATGCAGCCTGGGATTTCCAAGGTTCAAAAAGCACCGGGTTGGGGACTGAGGCCGACTGACAAGCAGATCCCTATGGTATTGAGTCTTCCATGTCAAGGACGGCTCCCTGCAAGGGATTCGCCAGTAAGATGTCTAATCAATTTTAAATGCCTCCAGCTGCAAAGCCTTCACTTCCCTCGGGGGCATCGTTCCACCGATCTCCCCCAAAGGCACAATTTCTAGGTAGCCAGCCTACAATTTCCTTTCCTTTATTTCATCTCTTCTCTCCTAATTAAACTCCCTTGCACTGCTTTACCTGATCCCGCTTCCTTGTGTTACTCACAAGACATCCTAGAGCAGCTATTGAAACAAGTGTCTGCCCACAATTGCATGGGTTATCACTATGACTGTATATGTATGATGCCACTGCGCGTACGACAGTCTGCCCTAATACATATACTTGGGAGGGCAGAATATTTATTTCATATCTCTTTTGACTTTGGAGCATGGGGCCTTATTAGCCTGGGAGGTGGCCAGTTTGGGGTTGTTTTTTTTTCAAGTCACGTGCTTTCTGCTGCTGCGTTGATGTGCTCCTAAACCCAAAGCTCCAGAGAGATGCCTCTTTGCCCTAATAAACATGCTGTAGTCAGCACGAACTTTCCCTGATATGCTATCTTCATCAATTTTACCAGCCCCCAGATGACTGCGCATGTTGCTGTCTCCATGCATCATGCTGAAACCTGCTTCTGAACCAGAGCAGAAAGAGGAATTTGTCATCAACTCTTCTGTTTGCTTGACAATAACGCAGCCTAATATTTCATGAAAACGAAGTGCCCAGAGCACTCCTGATGGTTTACAGTTGTGATAAAGGATGGTCAGATGGATACTGTCAGCCATTAAACAGTTTGCAACTGCGGAGCTCAGGAAGAATTGCAAAGGCCTCTGGGCCCGTCTTGGTGTCAAATGCTGCGTCACTGATGTAAAGGATGTTGCTCTGAGCAATTCCTTACTGAGTAAAGAAGAAGCCCTTTCTGAGAGCATCCGACCTACATGCAAGATTTCCCGGTAATCTATGTTTGCTTTGAGACACCCGTACTGCTTGCTCTGCATTGTAAGAAAAGTCGAGCGTCATTTTTAAAGTTACCACCGCTGAAATATTCAACCTTCCCTTTCCCTGGTCCCAGATGCGGTGCCAAGGAATCTGAGTCCCAAGCACCTCCGTAATGCCTTACTCGATCAATCACGGAAACTCGGCCCCTGCACTTTGGGGGTCCCTTGGTTTGAAAGGAGCTTGCTAAGCCCTGCAAACTTTGATGTCTTGTTATCAGCTGCAGAGAAACGTGGAATGAATATCAGTCCCAAAGACAACGCAGAGCTGTCAGCGCTCTGTGTTTAGGCCAACCAGGCAGTTTGTGCCAAGAAGTTTTACCTGAGAGGTTGGGGAAGCTGGAGGCAACCCTTCAACTTCAGTCTTGACTTTGCTGCGCTTGTTAATTACTGGATTGACCGTGCTGCTCACAGCTGACTCACTGCTCTGCTTGCTCTAGGAAAGAGAAATCAGGGGAGATGTGCTGCTAGGGTTATGAATGAAAAATGAGGCCGTGCCGCTACTACCATCATAATCACAGCAAATTGGAGTGGAAAAGGAACTCTGAAATGGGCTCTGTGGACTGGCCCATCCGCCCAGGAGTTAAGTGGAACATAGACCTTATCCTGGCTATTTGTCCAGAGTCAATCTCCTACTGTGCGAATATGCAAGGGGGAAAAAAAAAAGAGCCAGAGAAAAAATAAATAAAGGAAAATTTGAAGGCTGGGGGGGAAAAAAACCCCTATTTTGCATGTGACACTGGAGCTTTTAGTCTCTCAACTGCTTCTTCAGTTTAAGAACTATCCAGACCCTGTTATTCAAACCTCCCCTTTGACCTTAAGAATAATCTATGTTCTCCCCCACCCACTCCACACAAGAGGAAATATTTTATCCAATGGTTTATCTTGGTTTTAGGAGAGTGTCCTTCATAATCAGCCTGTAGGAGCCTACGCATATATTTTATCAAGCCCTTGGAAAAGAATCGAGTCTGCAAGAGACAAAGCATCATGCACAATACAAAGACTCTAGTGAATTGGAATATGACAACTGCAATTGCACTGGTGTTAGCTGCTCAAGATTGGTGTGGTAACTCTTAATCAGAGGTGTCACTTCTGCCACTGAAGTCATATGGGTAGCCAATTTGCTGGGATTGAAACAGAAGAGAAGAAAATAAAACCAATCAAGCCAATAACCCACCAGTAACAAACCAGTCCAGGGCCCATGAGGATCTCCAAACTAATAAACCAGACAGAACAGTTCAATACAATAAAAACACAAAAACAAATTAAAAGGGGTGGGAATGGAGGTGAAAGAGAGGTTGTGGAGAAAGCTTACATTTCCAAAAGTGAGTAGTTAGGCGATTTAAAAGATGCTATACATAGCCACTGATGTCCGACATGAGTGTGCGCTCAGGGTTTTGATATTCATCTGTTTGGTGCAGGTAAGTGCACAAAGATTGTACATTCCTAAGTCTAAACACCTGCTACACAATCATATAAGACTAACAATAAAAACAAGTCATAAAATGTACACCCAAATGGACAGTGCACTGCAGAAATTTCTTCCCAAAAATCATTTGCAAATAAGGAGTTGAAAAACTCCTCTACCATGGAGTTCATAACATGCAACCCATACAAGTATGGACTTACTTGAAACTTTCTCAGCTTGCAGCTTACTACAGAGAAGGTCTTTTCTGGCACTCAGTGGCCTGAGCTTTGCTCTATGGCAAGGTTGGGTCTTGCTCTCCTCTGGACCATATTCAGGGAATTAAAAGAGAGGCTAGAGCTCTAATTGGCAGTCACAGCTTGAATGCTTGAACTACACAATAATGCTGTGTGTATACAGACAACGTCTACTAAATTAGGGATGGCCTAACAGTTTTAACCCAAAATAAATAAATAAATTCTCGTGGTTTCGAACTCTTGGCCAGATTTTCAGAGGCCCTGAGTACTCATTGCTCTACTTGACCTCAGCATGAGCAGTAGATGTTTAGCATCTCTGAAAACAGGTTCCCTATTTGACTAGAGTCTCCCTCTCCACTAGGAAGGGTTTTTTTTCCAGGGCACCAAAGTTTAGCCCATTGCTCTATTTCATATGTGAACCGACTTGGCTCCTACCTGATTGGAGTCAGGGATGCAGCTGTTGTTGTTACTGATCTGCGTAGGAGGTGGGTTGACAGAGAGCACAGCCACGTGCTGCCGTGGGGGGAAGGTGGGGGATGGCTGGATCAAAGGAGGAGTATGTCCAAAGGCTGAACTCAAGCCCCTCTGCTGACTCAGGATCTGCTGGTACGTCACGGGGTTGATGGGATGGGGGAAGCTGAATGCCGGGCTGCAATACAAATGCCAGCGAAGAAGGGGCAGTTACATGATGGTATTAAAAAAAACAAAACGCTTATGTTAATGATTGATTTAGGTGAGGACAGAACTTCCTAGTGGCCACGGGGAACAGGAAAGGATGGAGAAACTAGAGTTTCATTAATCACCCGCAATAAACATTACAGAAGATTTATTATTTTGGATAAGGCAGGATCTACAACTAATTAATTAATTAATTTTGTGCAGATGTGATCTGCCTTAGCTACCCTTTGGTATATTTATGCTTCAATATAAATATACCCACTCACATGCAAAACTGCTATAAAGTCCTTTTCTTCCTGTGTTGCCATGCACTGCTTGCAAACATGGGCCTGACACGGGCTTTGCAACAATTCAGGCTTGAAGGCTTTGCTGTACAGAGCTACTTTGAAACCTTCTCAGCTTGCAGCATGCTACAGGGGAGATGGTCTCTGGCTCACCGGGCATGAATTACAGCAGGGACACTTCACCATATTCAAAAGAGATGGCATTTGCTTTGCACTCAAGGCAAAACAGGACGCTGTGGTATGAGGGTAGTAGACTATGTAGTGCTTCAGATGCAAGTTAGATGTAAGTTCAACTCCTAACCGCATCACGGGTAACCAGAAATGATCAACATCTACTAGCTGTTTGATGGCTCGTATGAAGTCCGTGATTTCAGACTTAGAGGGAGTTGATGAGGTGTCCAGAATAACAGCGGGAACTGCCAGCCTTGCAAGAAGGCCAAGTCCTGACTTAGTCTCTCTTTCAGAGGTGGTTCCCCCAGAAGAGGATTAAGGCACGAAGGAGAAGAAGTGTGGGAAATCTGCTCTGTTGCTGCCCTGGCTCTTGGCATGTGGTGTTAAACAAGTTTATTATTGTCAATTTTGCACTTTAAAGAGAGGATCCTAAGCACATGTACTCTAGGGCTGTGCGAAATTTCACTGGCCGTTTCGTTCCAACACTGTTTTGACCAATTTTGAGGTCAAAACAGCAAAATCGGAACAAAACAAAGCCGGTCGAAATAGTCTTGAAACAAAATGAGGCTGGTCGAAACGAGGCTCTCAACCATAGGCTGGGGATGGGAAGTCAGTCCAGCTGGGCTGACTTCCCATCCCCAGCACAAGATCCGGCATCCCCATCTGCTTGATCGTGCCAGGGGCGGGAGGCAGCCCAACTGCTTCCTGGGGCCCCGTGCTTGATCGCACCGGGCCGGGAAGCAGCCCAGCTGGGCTGCCTCCCATCCCTGTGCGATGTAGTGCTGGGGATGGGAAGTCAACTTAGCTGGTCTGACTCCCCATCCCCAGTGAAACTCGAAACAGCATCAGAACAGCCTTTCTGTTTTGATGAAACAGAACAGCTGTTTTGACTTGAAATGAAATTCGAGACAAAACGCTGTTCCCTCGAACCGGCGAAACTCAAGGCGAAACGGAACGGTGCAGTTTCGCACAGCCCTAATGTACACACGTGAATATTTTCTCATTGTTAAAGCCACAAGAGGTGCAAGGCTTGCTGAACTGGTCAATTATTAGCAGTACGTTATATTTTATATTTTATATATTTAACAATATATAAATCTATGGGGTTTTTTTAAATAACTTAGTCCCCTTCCTCCCCCATCATTATACAATTAAGGTTGGTTTTATTCCAAACCCATTAGTGACAAGGTGAGCAAAACACACTATGCTGCCCCAGTGGTTAAATAAATACGAATGACATCATACTATCTGATGGCAGGTTGCCATAGAGCAACTGGTTTATACAAAGGAGCCATGAGAAAAGTGACTTATAACAGTCGGCCATCCTCCCATGATGAGGTGGTCACTAGTTTGTGTCACTACTGTCACAGATAAGCTTTTTTACTGATTAAAAATTAAAGAAGCCACACTACAAACTATTAAGAGTTAGACTGTTTTATGAATGCAGCTCATTTACATAGTCTTGTTGTTAGTAGTAATAGTAAGAAGTATGAGATTTAAGATATTCCTTGTAAAGATATACCTAATGGCTCTGAATTTATTACTACTGTTATTATTGAATGATATTAGCCATGATACAAACACTTACAATAAAAAAGGTTCTTCCCCCAAAGAGCTTAACATCTAGGTTTAAACACAGTAGACTAGACGAGGGTACAACAGATGTAGAGAACACAAGGTAATAGTGGAAGAACTATGATTTGTAGCTAAATTTTGGATGATTCTCCAAGCTGCTGCTTTAGAAATACTTTTACAATTTTACAAGTGATGTTACCCAACAAAGTAGTGTTTAAATTACTGTAACAAGTAGAAATGCCAGTTTTTTTTCTTTAAAACAAGATCAAAACTCTTTAGGTATCTGTGGCTTCTCTAAAGCCTTGTGTTTCTTCCCCATGCATCTACAATAACATTATTAATAGATATGAATGTACTTAACTTCACACTACTGCTAACAGCAGGAGCACAGTGCAACCATTCTTAAGCAATCACTCAGAGGATTGGCATCAATTATTTGCCTAGGAGAAATATTTTCTAATTAAGTCTAGAGCAGAATTTCACTCAATGATCTAGATTTTTTTTTTAACGGGTGTTTAAAAAGTTAGGCTCCCAAGTCCATACAGGCAGCAATTTTTGAAAATCTAGGTTAATATTTGCAGGGCTACTTTGGGGATAGTCTCCTAAGGGGTGGAGGTGGGGATTTCTAATTAGGCTAGTCACACCATTTAGCAAAGCTAATTTATTGGCAGAACTGAGCCTCTTTTGTTTGGCTGCTAAGAGGTAAAAGCATATTGCAATTATTAGCAATCTGGCAAGTCGACAGTCCCATCCGGAAACAAGAAACCCATATACGGTATAAATTACTAATATAGCCATCAGTATAGAAGAAACACATTAAACATTACTTTTCCACAAGCCAGGGTTTTTCATATTAATGTGTAACACAGAGCCCGTACATAAAAGGGATAGATTTTTTGAACAGGATTCCTTGTTACCTTAGATGGGCAAACCTTGAAAGGTTTCCTTTCTGCAGCCTGAGTTCCTGACAAGGAGATAATTATGCAGACAGGAGATCAAATAAATAAAAGCCTAAATTGAGCCACTCCAACTGTTTTACCTTATTGCCCCTGCAGATAAATGGCCATACGAGCCACTCGCAGCAGAACTACTTCGGGAGTTATTAATATAAGCCACCAGGGAGTTAGGGGATGTCCTGATCATTGTTTGAAGATCAATGCTGGCATCAGACAGCGGGGATATGGAGAGGGCTCGCTTTCTGCTTAATCTTGGAGTCACCCGAGGGCTTGAAAATCTTGACACTGTAAGGAAGAGAAAAAAAAAACAAACCAGTGCGTCTAGTCAGATAAAAGCAGCAGGCTTCTCCCTTCTTGTGGCCAAGTGAATGAAAGAAGTTTGTGGCGCTCTGCTTGATTTACTGGGAGGAAGACTTAGTCTGAGAGCATGTGGAACATTAAATGACACGCAAGCCCCTAGCTGGGACTCATTTACCTTGAGAACATTTCTTAAGCCCCATCACACACACACAAAAGAAAAATTCATACTGCGCATCTGTATTTTTTGCTGTGACAGCCATTCTTGTGGAAGAGAAGCCGCAGGACTTGGGTGCCACGACAATGAAGCAGAGTCTTTACTGAAGCTGCTGAACTCAGAAAACGCCTTTGTTTTTCTCTGGCTTTCTAGTGGCCCGAATGCTGAGTTCCACTGCTGGGCGTTTGTCAAGGCACGGATTCAGCGAAGAACTTAAGCACAACCCTAAGGTGAAGCATGGGAGGAAGTTCGCTGAAATGGATGGGACTTACTTAAATACCTCGCTGATTCAGCACCCGGAAGTCCTGAGCTTGGACTTCCACTTTCTCAGCTGACTAATTTCTGCCTTGCTGCGATGTCAGTGGCTTCCCTAATGTATGGAAGAGGAGCATCGGTGTAGCTGGTCTTGAACCAGCTGATCTCTATTCTGCAAGGGCTCTTTGCAAGTGTCATCGATCAGGGTCCCCAGGGGTGCCCATGGTGCCCCTAACAGCTCCATGACTGCACCAGCTCTGCTCCGAGAGCATGCTCTTGTCTCTCCTGCCACATCTTGATGGTGAAATAATAAATTGGGAGGCTGCCCATGGGCCTTTGCGTGGCCCCAGTGCACCAAACCCCACAAAAATTCACTGGTCCTTGGGCCCTTCGCTGGACCTCATTCCAGCACTGTGCCACACGGGGCACCTTGAGCCTTATGGGCTAATTGCATGGCTCCAAAACCTTCCCTATACAACACCCCATGCCTTGCGGATGTTACATGTAAGTTATTCCCTCTTTTGGGCCTTAGTTTACTCGGTCTCCACCCCTTTAATCTGGCTAAGCCTTCTAGCCTAGGCCCACCGTGCCGGATGTCAGTATGAGGCACTAGCTCTAATCAGGCCCCTGGCCCCTGTATAGCTGTACCCCTCAGGTGCCAGGCCCATGGCCCCATGTAGCTGTCCGCCTCGAGTGCCAGGCCCACGACCTCATCATCTTGCCCTATAATTTGTACTACTCCTAACACAACGGGCTTGTGTCTTTGAACACGTCTACACAAGATGCTTAATGCCCACTGGACTAATTCTACTGCAGATTAGTGCAGGTGGCAAAAGCCGTGCTAATGTGCAGTAGATTAGTCCAATGGGAATTAAGCATCATGTAAAGCGTTCATCTGTGCTAATGTGCAGTAGCACCGATTACGGCACATTAAGTTAGTACCTGTTTTTACAAGTACTAAGCTTAACGTGCTGTAATTACAGCACATTAATGAACACGTAGATGCTCCCTTTGACTGGAGCTCTTAATCCATACCATAATGGGAATGAAAAGGTTAATAATAAAATAAGCCTATTCATTTTGATTCCTTAAAAAATATAAAGTGCCTATTGCCAAAGTCTTCACTCAAAAAGAGTTTGAATGAGTAGCAACAAGCTAAAACTAGAGGAGATTGGGTAGACAACAGACTTAAAAAGGGCTCGTATAAATTAATTCTAATTCAATATAATTAACAGATTTATTTAGGATTGCTTCATTCATTCCTCGCATACTTTGTGTTGAAATACTAGAGATGATGCACTGTATTCTTTATTCCAAATAAACACATTTTCAGTGCATGGTTTGAAGTTAACACTGAAAATCCCTGTAACTACAGCCCTCTTACGGGCATAAAGGGCTTCTTGGCTGATGGGAATGATGACGGATCATAGTGCCATATGCTTCTCAGCATCTAGAGGAGCTGATTACAGTATAGGCTAGATGAAAATTGTGCTTTCCATCCCCTTCCCCACTTTTCCAGCCAATTACTAAACTGCTGACCAGACCTTCATCACTACTTTAAATTGGAGCAAGGTTGCCAATCCAATAATTTTTTTTTTTATTGAGAAGCTGATGACCACATTTTTTTATTGGTATATGTTTTTATGGACATACATTTTACATAATATAAATGTAACTCTTTGGCCAGGACCTGCACAGCAATAATAAAGGCCAGGTTCAAATCTTAGCACTGAACACCAACTTTCTAAATCTGGCTTCAGCCCCCACCCAGAAACCTGGGAAACTACTAGTGTGGCCACTGGTCCGGTTTTATACTGGACTGTCCTGTTTTTAAACTCTCCATCCCCTGTCCATTTCTAAATGAGGTATGGGCTGCCAAAAGTCCTGCTTTTTTAGCTCATTGGTGGAAATCCATGTCAAACCTTTGTCCTTGCAATTCTATTGGCTGTGCTGAGAGGTAGGGTAGTGCACAGCCGGGAAGAACTTTGTGGTGGTCCTGCCCCTTGCTGTTGATTGACCAAGGGGCCTGGTGGCCCCACCCCTCACCACTGATTGGCCTAACCCTTGCCAGGGGGGAGTCCCATATTCTGGGGATTTAGTAGCCACCCTAGAAAGCACATTTTAGCTAGATGTTCTAAAGTCGGGGCGGGCAATTATTTCAGGCGGAGGGCCACTTACTGAGTTTTGGCAAGCCATCGAGGGCCGCATGACAGGCAGCCAGGGGCAGATAAATATTCATTTTCTAAATTTTTTTTAGAAAATGAATATTTTCCATGGGCCGGAAAAAATGGGCCGGCGGGCCACATCCAGCCTGCAGGCCACATTTTGCCCACTCCCGTTCTAAAGTGATCAGACTTCCCCACTCTTGAGCAATGGTCAGCCAGGTTCATTACAGGAGATAAGACGAGAAAAAACCTTAACCAATATACATTCAGTGAAACCCAGACACCTAACAGCCTCAGTCACTAGTGATGAGCCCAGGGGAGCTACCTCCTAGCACAGCTTGTTAGGAGGGAGATTCACCCAGGGCTGCTACCTGGGGGCTCTACCACCTATGCCAGCTAAAAATGACCCTCAAACAGTAAGATCTAGGCCCACAAACAGCAGAACAGGCACGAGTAACCTCCAAGCCTACAAACATGCATACTAATAAGGGCATGCAAAGAAGGAATATTCAGTTACCTTAGCAGAAGATAATCATAACAGAAGTAAGCAATAAAATAAGCAGGGCTACATCACGGAAATGCAAAGTACAAAAATACACATACCTAAGAACTGTAGCTAAGAATTATTTTAACCATTCTTAGAATCCTTTTCGTGACTGCACATTGAAACATAAATGCTTTCAACCTTTGCAGTAATTTGCAGTAGTGATTTCCCACTCCCAGCACTGCAGCCGTCCCAGCTGAAGCCCCCTGCTCTCTGTCCTACCCCGTGCCATGCAGCCCTGCCTCCCTCCAAGGTGAGCAGCCATTATAGGCAGCACAGGCATATGCAGCAGCAGTACATGGCTGGGAGGGAGGCCTGGCTACAGAGGCTCTCAGGGCCTACAAAGCTCTGACAGAGAGCTCCCTACAGGGTGCTTCACTCCAGTTCACACACAAGGGCTAGGGCCAGAAATTACATATAAACTGGTATAAGCGGTGGAAACCAGTTCATATCTGTAACACAAGAGAAGTTGAGTGCACATAAACTGCTTTTAAAATGGCTGCAGCTGGTTTAAGATAAATTTGTGTGGATGTAGTATCAGACTTAACTGATTTAAGTTAAATTGCTTTATTGAACTTTTGTCCCAGATCCCCTCCAGATTCGAGTTAACTCACAGTCCTGTAGTGTCCCAGAATGCTTTGCATCTTCCCAACAAACCCTGCCTCACAGGGTCAGCAGGCTAGCCTTGGTTCAGGCTACCTGCTCCAGCTAAGCAGGGTGGTGTGCTCTCGCACCCCTTACCTTCTGGCCTGAGCCAGTACAGGCATGTGGCAGCATTTCCAGAATCAAAAAGTGAATGTCTTCACTTGTTTATCAGTTCAATCTATGCAGCTTAGACTAATCTGTGATGATTGAATCGAATCAGCCTTGGATTTTTTGACTGTCTGCACTTAGCCAAGATGGTACTGTTCTGCTCTGTCTGTCCATCAGTACTTCTTACATCCAGCCTCATTCTGATGACAGATCTTCAATCAAGCTCAAGTTTTCTTAGAGTTTTTTGTTTGTTTGTTCTGTTTGTTTTTTTGCAGCTTGTCCATAAATTTATGGACAGTTGGTAACCCTGACTCTGAGTGAGGTAGGTATGGCGTAAAAATGTCCCATCTGACTACAATTTAGTGGCCTAAGTTGAATAGGGTGGCAGTTTTATTCTAATTCATGGCAGATCTATATCTCTCTCTCCAAAAGCACCAAAACGGGTCATGAGAAGTAGCCTTGTTGGCCTCAGCAAGAGGCAGTGCTACTAAATTAGAAAAGTTGGGCAAGTTGCTTGGCTAATCCATTTCAAGCCACAGGGTTGGGGCTAAGGTTTAAAAACCTAGTGCTAAAGGCAAAAAGTGCTGAAAGAGAATGGAGCCTGAATGAGACTTCTGATCCCTCCGCTGCCTCCCAGGTTAGTGCTGAGTGACACTAGTGAGGCCGTGTCGGGAAAGCTTACACTGCCGCCGACCTTGCCTTCAGTCCTGTGGGGGTAAACAGAGAGCTGTCAATCAGTCCCTTTCACCAGCACTAAATTAATTTAAAATTAAAGAGGAAAAGGCCCCTGAAGATTACGTTGAATACAGTGATTCTCAGTGACTGAGCAGATAAGAAAACTAGCCTGGAATAGCACCACATCAGAGCAAGAGGAGACCCTTAGAAATTGTGCATGTGCTTGTGTGTAGGAGGAGCGGAAATGAAACAAATGCCGGCACAATGCTGAGCATCCAATTAAAGAAAGAGGCGAGACAGCAGGAGCCCAGAAAGTAAATTAAGAGGTTTAAGAAAAAGCAATTTGACAGCTCAGGCGCAAAGTGAAGGCTGTGAGGGG